AGTCTCCGGCAGCCTCGCGTTTCTTGTGATTTCGCCCATTCTTTGGCGGACGACCAACGCTCCTGAATAACCAAGAAATTCCCCAAGTTCAATTTTTCAGTATTCGCCAGTTTAAATTACAGTACTGTACAGTAAATGTGAAGTTCCAAGGATTCTCGCGGGGGGGATGATAGGGGATATATAATTACGCAAGGACCACAGCATATTAGCACAACTTTCCCAAACCAGTCCGGCATGCATTGCTGAACAAACACATAACTTTTAAAGCCTTGACTCGTTAGCGTCATGTCTTCTGTCCGTTTTTTTTTTTATGGGAGCTGAAGTCTCGTTGAGCGGATAAAGAAAAACATTATACTGTACTTTCCAAAACTTCTCGAGTATTTCCTCAGAATTTCGTAAACATAAGGTTGGAATGGAGGGAAAAAGTCAAGAGCTGGAAGTCCACTCGATCACTGCGCGGAAATACTGTATGTACAGTACAGTTAGTTGGACCTGGAGAATTCGAACCTCTCCAAGTCGAAAACGTTCCAAATTTGGATTGGTCTAAAGGCTTTTTGACAATTATTCTATTGAAACAGGAAAGAGAAAAGCTCAACAAATATAACTTGATGGATTTTTTTCAAAGGAATCGAAAGACTCATTGGGCAAATGATGCCTTGCCTCCAAGTTCAGCATCACGTCGAATAATTTAAAAGGTAATTAAAGGCCCAGAATATCAACAATTACAATTTCCTATAATTATTCTTTCTTTGCCTCAATTAAAAAAAATGAAAAATGTCCCTGATGAAAAAAGAACAATAACTTCATACGAATGTAATAGTTGAATGAGGTTACTGCATTTTTGGTCACACAAATACTGGCTTCATTTCGGTTTGTTTTTTCATTCATTTCGACGGAGATACTTTTATTTCGCAGAGTATAATGCAGTAAGTAGTATTCCAAGATTTCCAACGCAGTGAAACGAGGATTTCGAAAGCAGTGCGGCATGATCCGGAGATATTCAAAACTTAAATTTTTGAATGCTAGATGTTTAAATATTTCAAGTTTAAATGTTTGAAGATTTCGAGTCACACGAAAGCGTTCATGAGAATTGAATATTTCAAGAACAATTTTTACTCCAGTTCCCGTGATTTCTGCGCATTTATAGCGAAAGATCCGGCTCAACGTGTTCCATGGAAATGAAAAAAGAGGAAAAACATCGTTCGTCACATCATGTACTTCGATAGATGCTTTCCACGAAACTAGTCTCCGGCAGCCTCGCGTTTCTTGTGATTTCGCCCATTCTTTGGCGGACGACCAACGCTCCTGAATAACCAAGAAATTCCCCAAGTTCAATTTTTCAGTATTCGCCAGTTTAAATTACAGTACTGCACAGTAAATGTGAAGTTCCAAGGATTCTCGCGGGGGGATATAATTACGCAAGGACCACAGCATATTAGCACAACTTTCCAGCATGCATTGCTGAACAAACACATAACTTTTAAAGCCTTGACTCGTTAGCGTCATGTCTTCTGTCCGTTTTTTTTTTTTTCTGGGAGCTGAAGTCTCGCTGAGCGGATAAAGAAAAACATTATCCTTTCCAAAACTTCTCGAGTATTTCCTCAGAATTTCGTAAACATAAGGTTTGGAATGGAGGGAAAAAGTCAAGAGCTGGAAGTCCACTCGATCACTGCGCGGAAATATGTACAGTTGGACCTGGATAATTCGAACCTCTCCAAGTCGAAAACGTTCCAAAGTTGGATTTGTCTAAAGGCTTTTTGACAATTATTCTATTGAAACAGGAAAGAGAAAAGCTTAACAAATATAACTTGATGGATTTTTTTCAAAGGAATGGAAAGACGCATTGGGCAAATGATGCCTTGCCTCCAAGTTCAGCATCACGTCAAATAATTTAAAAGGTAATTAAAGGCCCAGAATATCAACAATTACAATTTCCTGTAATTCTTCTTTCTTTCCCTCATAAAAAAAAAGAAATATGTCCCTGATGAAAAAAGAACAATAACTTCATACAAATGTAATAGTTGAATGAGGTTGATGCATTTTTGGTCACACAAATACTGGATTCATTTCGATTTGTTCTTTCATTCATTTCGACGGAGATACTTTTATTTCGCTGAGTATTCCAACGCAGTAAAACGAGGATTTTCAAAGCAGTGCGGCATGATCCGAAGATATTCAAAACTTAAATTTTTGAATGCTAGATGTTTAAATGTTTGAAGATTTTGAGTCACACAAAAGCGTTCATGAGGATTAAATATTTCAAGAAGAATTTACATAGAAGAATTTATGGAGGTCAAGGGCACTAAAGACGCGTAAATATCGCTTTCTAGGCCGAGTTGCACAAGGTACCTTTACTTTTTTCTCCTTTTTGTAGCAAGCAGTGTAGTACATGAAGCTATCTACGAAAGGTGCTTTGTTGTTTTCGAGATCTGTTTATTTTTTCGTCTCCAGGAGATCCTTCACCGTAATGGAGTTGAACCTCAAGCAGATCGCTCACACAGAGATCCTCGTTTTTTTTTTTTTTTGAATACGGGGCTATATAGTGAACCATTGATCTTTAGCCTCAACATCTTCCCTGCAAAACTCAATTTCCTTAGCAGTTCCCTTTCCAGGTCAAGCAGGAATTGCTACCAAGGGTCTCGGAAATTTATTTGAATACGGGGCTATATAGTGAACCATTGATCTTTAGCCTCAACATCTTCCCTGCAAAACTCAATTTCCTTAGCAGTTCCCTTTCCAGGTCAAGCAGGAATTGCTACCAAGGGTCTCGGAAATTTATTACATTTTTCCACCATTTCTTGTCGATAGGTTCAATTAGATACGTAACACATAAATCATCTTCCAGAAAATGCGCTACGGATAAATTTACAATTAGTCAATTACAGTGCGTTTCTATGAGAGAACTTGATAAATTGCAATGTAAATTTTCTTTCAGCTTCAAATTATACAAATTAAAAAAGGGATTTACGGTATTCCAACCCTCCCCCCGATTCGCCAGCCGTTTTTCGAAATCTCTCGCCTTTCTAAAATGAAAGCCGAAAACTGAAATTTTCGAACGTTAGTAATTTGCCCGGAATCACCACATCATTTCCACCACTCACTAGCCCAAATAATGAGGGTTTCACCATAAGTAGTACTGTACCTCGTTCCAACAAAAGCCATTGGAAAAATTCTTCGGTATAACGTGACATTCGTCATAATGAGACTCAATATGAGCGCCCTAAAAGAAGCATTTGTAATACGCAAGAATTCGTTGTAACGAAATCCAAATAATCTACATAATTTATGGAGATAATTTCCCAGAAAATTTCGTCAACAATACCATGAAAAAAAAGAATAGCTCGACAGGAATGTCGTAACACCGAATGCAAATAGGATTACCGAAAGGAATCCCAGAAAATTCCCTTCCCGCATTTGGCCTTCATCCGAATATAAATTCTCGGTGTCCTTTAATCGCGTGACGCGCCATTTATTATTTCAAGAAACTTGCGGCTATTCCCGTCGTCATCCTGACATTATGAATCCAGCAATGTTTTCTAAAGTACAGTATAAACAACTCACGTTGCGGAAATCATTATCAATGAAATTTATAACCAAAGGACCAAAACGAGAAATTAAGAACTGTGTTGAGATGCAAATAAACAAGTGTGATTATGACAGGGCCCCTTTCTTACTCCTCCCAAACTTCGCCATTAGACTTGCTCGAATCTATTTCCCCCATTTTGCACGTAATCGTCACAGCATAAATTGCTCACAAATTCCCGAAAGATCAAAGATTTTTTTGAAAATATAAAAATTTCTCCAAGATAAATAATCGCAGATGGCAAAGGACAAGATCAAGCGTTGATCCTCGAAAAAGTCTGGGAAGAGCGTAAAAATTTCAGACTTGCGCCAGAAATGAAGAAAAACGCAGTCCGCGGTATTTTCGAAAATCAAGCGGAATGTATCACGTTAGAAAACCGTGCTGTGATTCGAGAAAACGTCCAACGTATTCCTTAATGACAAACTGCAACCAAATTGTAATCTCATATCCATCACTTCCACTTAAAAATGAAGTGCACGGATCATATTAAATGTAATCCTGTACCGTGCAACATTTTATAGCTCAAACCAGTGTAAGGCACAACTAACCCGAAGCCCAATTATATGCTGAAGTAACCCAATCACTCGTCAAATTTAATGCCCATAGTTAAAAGTAAATTAACCGAAAATACATCATAAGCGATAAAAAAAATTGACGGAAATTCGCACAGTCTCAGATAGTTTTAGAACAGCCGCAGAGTCTCGACAGATTACGGTATTATTGTTTTCAGTTGTGTGCGTGTCATTTTCTACTCTATATTTTCAGAATTAGTTGAGCCTAGAACACTCAAACTACTCTACGTCGAATACCTCGCAATTTCAAATGTTTTTCAGGCCCCTGTCTGGATTCCCTTAAAAGCAATGCATTAAAAACCTCCTCAACTCAAAGGCTTTCCTTCTAAAATTGTCTTTTTGGCAATTATTCGATTGCCACAAGAGAGAAAAGAGCAATAAAAATGTAACTTGATGTACTTTGAAAGGAAGTAAAAAGACTAATTGGGCAAATAAACCCTTGCCTCCAAGTTCAGCATCCTGTCAACTACTCCTTTACGAAACAACTCAAGGCCCAGAATATCACCAATTACGCTTTCCTGTATTTTTCTATTTTCCCGCCGGAAAAAAAAATGCTGGTTTCCCCAACTCAAAGCCTCTTCAACTCGATTTTTTCCTTTCGATAGTCCTTTCATATTCGTCGACTTGAAAGAGATTCGCCTTTTGTTGGACACATTCCCTCAGTCAAACGTCGTGCCTGACCCAATCTAAAAAAAAACTGTACATAAAAAAATCTAAAAACCCTGACCAAGTTCTCAAGTACAGTACTGTAGTAACGAACCCATAAAAACAACACTCCCCCCCCCCCCATCCCGCGGTAAATGTGGGTTTGACACAAGCGCGAGAAAAAAATGAAATAAATAATAAGAAGGACCCAATAACGAAGACAAAACCCTGAACTAAAGTACGTACCTTTTGACAATGTGAGGTTGCGGGTGTTCGTTGTTGTTCTTACTTTTGCCCAGCATCACTCGAGAATCCGTCTTTCGGCCTCCCACGATCAACTTGGCAGACCTATCACAACTGCTGCTGCCACTGGTACTGCAACTACTACTACTACCACTGCCACTGCCACTCGTGGTGCTTCCACCCTTAGCACCACCACCACCACCACCAACACTACTACTGCTCGTAGACGAGGCATCTCCGCCATCAGACACCGGGTCCCCGTGCTGGCCCTTGACCCTCAGCTCCTCCTCCAAATCCGGGCCAGCATCTCGCGCATTGATGCCTACAAACTTGTCGGTCCAGCGGCGCCTTCGTCTGGGCCTGGCCACCATTCCGGCGCCACCAGTCGTTGATGTCGACGCCGACGGACACACACACCCGTGCACGCACTCAAACCGTCCACACAACTGCTCATAGATCTCGTCCACGTCCCTGCCCCAGTCCTCGCACACACAACCCAATTGACAAAAACTGTTTCCACACGCCGCGGGCGGCAAAGACGACGACGACGACACGGACCCGGCTGCTTCGTCGTGTTGTGTTTGTTGTCGTTGTTGTTCTTCGTCCAGGTGGCGGTGGTAGAAACTCGGGTCATACTGCTTCGGACAATGCAAATGCGCAAAGGTTTTCTCGTCAAACTTGCGTCTGCCGGCTCTCGTCATCTTGCCATGAGACAAGACACGCGGTGTCAAGGAAGAAGAAGGAGAAGAAGACGAATACGACGACATCAGTTGAGGGTTCAAAGCAGACACTGCAAACTCCGTGCGACTCGGAGACAATTCGATGATCGGACTGGCGCCCGTGTGCTGCTTCCGACGGTCTTTCACGGGTCCGTAAACAAAAATGGGAGGCATATCCGCCTCCACTAGATTCGACGTAGCTGATGTGGCGGCTTTTACAGGCGGCGGCGGCGGCGGTGGCTTGACCTTGTTTTTGGAGCCCGGTGGACGACCCCGACGCTTGGCAGGACTGACTCTGACCTCGGATGACGGCTCCAGGGATTTGCTGTGAGGTCGCCTGGTTTTGCTGCCAAAGTTGTTTTCCGAATTGTCATTGTTGTTGTTGATTTTTGGCTTCGTGTTCCCAAGGGACTTTCCTGAGCCCCGAGGCCTGCCACGTTTTGCCTGCGGGATTGTTGTTGAGGAGACGTTCGACACCGGGATTTCTTCTGCTGGCTTCCGATCGTCATGTTCCACAGTTTTTTTGTCTGTTGGGGAAAAAAAAAGACCAAACACACATTGTTATTGGAGTTGAAAGCGTTCTCCTGAAATACGTGCAGTTGAACCTCTCCTTGAGTCCAATACAGTACCTCCCTCTGTCAAATATTTTTTTCGAGACCCGGTCTGGATCCCATTGGAAACAACGCATTGAAGAAGCTCAACAACTAAAAGGCTTTCGCCTTCAAACCTCCATGACTCGATTTCACTTTTCTTTCGGGAGAAAAGCAATAAAAATGTAGCGACGCGTTCTGAAAGAAAATGAAGGTCTAAATGGGCAAATGAACCCTAGCCTCCAAGTTCAGCATCCTCTCAAGCCATTTAAAAAGCAAACTGAGGCCCAAAATATCACCGATTAATATATCCTGTAATGCTTCTTTCTTTCCCTGAACCAAAATGCTCGTTTCCCTGACTCGAAACTTCCCCAGTTCAAATTTCTCTGCTCGTCCCGTGCTTTTGGACTTGAAGAGATTCAACTGAATCCTCGACGTGTTTTCAATATTTCTCGCGAACACACAAGAGACTTGTTTCTTTTTCTATTCAAAATAAATATATTGTGTTCACTAATTCAACACGAGGAGACATTGTACCTGTGAAACTTTCAAAGAGGTTTGATGCTAAAAGCGTTTTCAAAAATTGATACACGGATTCCGTTTCGTTAACCTTGAAAATCAATTCGCGAATTTCACCCGTAGCACGAAGAAAATGCGAATTTCTCTGCGCGGAAACTTGCGCCAAATTTGTTTCCAAGGCCGAAGTTTCCAACGGAGACACGCATAAAAAAATCAGCATTTGAATTCAACATAATTCCTTTTTTAAATAGGAGAAAGCAGCTTTTACTAAATATGTTTCCACAATGCTTTCCCAGCAATTGCAGAGGGAAAGAGTCTCAACGAATGAAAGTGTGTTCCGAGATCGAGGTCAAACGCATTCAAGTGTCTCGAAGAAGTTTTTCTTGTCTTCGGGGAAAAAATGGCAGCTTTGAATGAACAGCTGATACGTTGACAAAGTGAGATTATGACATGAGTCATTTGATCAACATTCGTATCATGAACTTGAAGGAATAATTGCCTTGGAATCGTTCGAAAAGTCACCAAAAAGTCACGAAATGTAAGGGATTTTAGAGTTCATAACCATACATTATTGTACTATAATCTTCGAAAGACGCGATATTTTGAGGCCGATTTCTTTGCGTTTACTTTCAATAAAGGGTAACCCCAAAAAATCGTCCCATAACTTCCGAAGCATGTCAAAACGCTGAAAAATAAATCTAAAATCATTCCTCAGTTCGGCACGATGAAACACAAAACGGAAATCAATACATTGCAAGGTACTTTGAATAGTTGTGGATTATTAAAACAGATTAATCGAGATAAATATGACATAACATGCTAATTCACGATTTTTCGATGGACCCGACTCCGAGCTACATTTCAATAGGTAGAAAAATCCCATTATTTGAGAAGCACAAGCGATTTTCGTGAAATCGTGTAAAATTGATTTTTTTTTTCGGGCGACGAAAACCCGGAAGTTCTGCAATCAATTTTCAACGCACTTCCGACCACATGTTCTCGACATACGACATCCATTCACAGAAGGTTTTCAATTTGATTCATATATTAACCGAATCTGACCGCGAACAAGTTTTCACATGCAGTATATTAAATTAATCGTTGGGCTCGAAAAAAGTACAGAACTCGAAACGGGTGAAGAAATATTTTCGATTCTGTCAGTTTCTAGCTAGAAAGGGGTAAAGAAAATTCGTCATGGGTTAACAAATACTGTATATTTTAAAACATTCGTGAAAGAAATAATTTTATTTCTGGAGACCAGAAACACTTCAAAATCTTAGTCATATTCCCACGAAAAAAGTACCGTGATTTCGGAGCCACTTTTATTTTCGAGACTGAGTACCTTCATGAGAGCACTTAGTTGACTTTAAGAGGTTAAAGTTCTATCTTTTTTCATTGGCGATTAAAGAGTCCTTGCTTGCTTAATAAGTGCAGTTCGTGAGGACATGAATCCGAACTATTCCACACACGCTGCTTTCGACAAAGACTGCAAATATTTTATGGAAACCACCGCTCATTTCACGACTCATTAACTTCTGGAAATTTCAGAAATAAAATCAAAATCGCGATCCCCATTTCACTCAGCGCAAAATTTTTTTTCTGCCATGCATTCATCGGTGATTGACTTGAAAAAAACACAATCCCCAGCGACTATTCAAACGAATTATTTTTTTGAACGAACCGTAAAATATTTTATGAACACTGATTTCATCAAAATAAATACAGACGTGCAACAAAATAAGGCTGGCAATTCAATCAAAACATGATTGAAAGCTATCGAAGTGCTGTTATTATCCTCGTACTGGTTGAGAGGGACTTCTAAAAATTAAAACCGTTATCTGAATGCTGTCGAACACGGAAAAAAGCACAGCAATTTTGTGTCTACCCCTATACAGTATTTCGGTGGTCTTACGCAATACGATTCAACTTACAGTGCTGTACTGCACGCGTCAAAAATGCCTGAGAACTCAAGTGATGGGTAATTAATTCAAGTGTGACCCGAAAAGAAGCAAAAAAATCTCAGCTTTCGAATAAATTGCTTTTCCAATTTCAGAAGAGTCCAGATACGAAAATTAAATGTAGGAATTTAGGCATAACCAGTCGTTGTAGAACCCGTGCAGTAAATAAAATATGTTATTAATTTACATCATTGATTCACTCCTTTGTACATAGATACCGAAGCTGTGAGACACAGTCGGGATTATAGCGGGATTTTTTTTTTTTTGCGTGAAGGACATTTTTTGTGATAACGATCAATGCGTGAATTGTGCCCTTAACCTGGGTATGTTATGAATACAGTACAGTATTCCCTCGCTGTTGGTGGCTTTTCGGGGAACCCCCTCAACTCCAGCTATTCAAAATGAGAACACAAAGGTCTCGGTGAAAATAAAAGCTCTGACTCATGGAAGTACTCTCGTGAATCAACTGAAATTCTCCAATTTCAAGATAGAAAAAAGTAACCGCTAATTTCTCAGGAACGAACGAATTATTCACGTCAAGCACCGGACATGAATCCGAACTATTCCACACACGCTGCTTTCGATAAAGACTGCAAATATTTTATGGAAACCACCGCTCATTTCACGACTCATTAACTTCTGGAAATTTCAGAAATAAAATCTAAATCGCGATCCCCATTTCACTCCGCGCTATTTTTTTTTTCTGCCATGCATTCATCAATGATTGACTTGAAAAACACAATCCCCAGCGACTATTCAAACGAGTTATTTTTTTGAACGAGCCCTAAAAATATTTTATGAACACTAATTTCATCAAAATAAATACAGAGGTTCAAAAAAAATAAGACTGGCAATTCAATCAAAACATGATTGAAAGCTATCGAAGTGTTGTTATTATCCTCGTACTGGTTGAGAGGGACTTCTAAAAATTAATACCGTTATCTGAATGCTGTCGAACACGGAAAAAAGCACAGCAATTTTGTGTCTACCCCTATACAGTATTTCGGTGGTCTTACGCCATACGATTCAACTTACAGTGCTGTACTGCACACGTCGAAAATGCCTGAGAACTCAAGTGATGGGAAATTAATTCAAGTGTGACCCGAAAAGAAGCAAAAAATCTCTGCTTTCGAAAAAAATTGCTTCTCCAATTTCACAAGAGTCCAGATACGAAAATTAAATGTAGGAATTTAGGCATAACCAGTCGTTGTAGAACCCGTGCAGTAAATAAAATATTTTATTAATTTACATCATTGATTCACTCCTTTGTACATAGATACCGAAGCTGTGGGACACAGTCGGGATTATAGCGGGATTTTTTTTTTTTGCGTGAAGGACATTTTTTGTGAAAACGATCAATGCGTGAATTGTGCCCTTAACCTGGGTATGTTATGAATACAGTACAGTATTCCCTCGCTGTTGGTGGCTTTTCGGGGAACCCCCTCAACTCCAGCTATTCAAAATGAGAACACAAAGGNGGACATTTTTTGTGAAAACGATCAATGCGTGAATTGTGCCCTTAACCTGGGTATGTTATGAATACAGTACAGTATTCCCTCGCTGTTGGTGGCTTTTCGGGGAACCCCCTCAACTCCAGCTATTCAAAATGAGAACACAAAGGATATTTGTAAATTAAATTTAGAAAGGCCAAGTTTCACTTTATGACATTCGAAGGAATCATTGTAGACATTAGAGCTGTTCTCCTTTGAAAAGAGGGAGAACTTCGGTGAGACACTGTGAACATACTTGTAAATTTTACGTCACTTCATAAACAGTTGTGAACGGGCTTCATACTTCTAATCTAATTCGATTTTTACTTGGACCTTTAATTAAATAACGAAAAATCAAAAACGTAACGTCAAATGTGCCACAGAAATTGAGCTTTCAAGGGAATAAACCTGGCTCGACCGAAATTTTTTTCCCTGCAAGTACGGCATAAATTTCCAAAAGGCCGTTTACCGGGACACCACCAAACTCCGCCATATTCGCCGAAAAGCCAGAACTCTTGGACATGCACGCAAAAGAATCAGTATTCTCCTTTTTCTGGAATGAGGTCGAGGTCAAACAAGATATATTGTACGGTACAGTAGTGTGGATATTCACTTTACACAGAGGGGCCTCAACAAATGGACGATTCGACTTCGGGACATTTAAACCCCAAACAATGCGCCCGAACATAAAAAAAATGTCTCAAAATTCGGACACTTCGCCAACATTTCTAGAAAAACGAATTTTTTTTATTTCGAAATCTTTTCAAAAAATTGAGCTACAGTAATTATGCGTACAAAGATTCAAAATTAATCTTACTATAAATTCACTCTAATTTACAATCCAAAATAGACTATTTTTTACTTTTTTAAACTTTTTTCCATCATTTGTGCACAGTATAGCAAGACTTGTGGTTCTGGTGAAATTTTAGACCAATTTCAACAATTTTTCAAACATTCCCAGAAATTTACA